AGTCTGTTGTTAGGGACCTCTCCAAAGTACTGAAGAGCAGTGGTGTCTCTCTGGAGACTAAGGTGCGCCTGATACAGGCCAAGGTCTTTGCAATCACTTGTTATGCATTAGAGAGTTGGACAATGACTAGGGAGGACAGAAGGAGAGTTGATGCCTTTGAGCTGTGGTGCTGGAGAAGAGTATTGAGGGTACCATGGACTGCTAGGACAAAAAACAGATTCATCCTGGAAAGGATCAAACCGGGCTGCTTGTTGGAGGCAAGGATTCTGAGGCTCCGTCTAACATACTTTGGACATGTTGCAAGGAGGGACAGGTCCTTGGAGAGGGGCATAATGCTTGGTAGGGTGGAGGGCCAGCGCAGAAGGAGAAGGCCCTCTATGAGGTGGATTAATTCAGCGACTTGGGTACTCAGGATGAGTGTATCAGAGACGGTGCGATTGGCACAGGACAGAGCAGAGTTTAGGGATCTTGTATATAGGGTTGCTATGAGTAGCAAGCGACTCAACGGCACATAACAACAACAACAACATCACCAGAGCGACCATAGGACATCTTGTAAGCTGCTTAGCATAGATTTAAGCACACAAAAAATGCTTGTTCTGTTAAAATAACTTTAAGCCAAGATCGTTAAACTGTTTTGTTTGGTATGTTAAAATTTTATTTAAAAGGTTTAAAAATACAAACAATATGCTTTGTAAACATTCACTCAAATCACGATAAAACTTTTGCAAAAATGAAGTACACGTAAGGATGTCAGCATCCATGTACCTACCTATCAACTGTAATGAACTAATGTTATTAATTAACATTTATCTTATTTGCATGGGATGCCTATGTTTTATAGAAATATAGTAATGGTGCATCCCTTCCCAATTCCCAATTCTTAATTTCCTCTTTCCAGAGGTAAATGGGTGCCATAGCTTTTTGCCTTCTTAACCCTTTTTGGGTCTTGGGCCCTTCTGATTTGGAAACCCTGGGCTGCTTCATGCCTATTCCAGCTCTCATCAGAAATACCTCAGCACATACATGCAAAGCATTCCTTAAGTTTCTGAGAGCTTTCACTGGACTCAAACTCCCAGCTGGAACCTTTTGGCATCCAAATCCTTTTTCTTTGGAGAATCTAGGCGGCTCTCAACAGTGGAATCTAATTTGAGCCGGCTCCCTGCCGTGCGGGAAGCTGCTGTGAGAAGCTTCAGAGGTACCCATCTGAGAGGTGGCGCTGGCCTCATTCCTTTGCTGTTTGCCAGTTCATCACAGGGATTTGGGACTGCAGGGCACGATGCAGTCGCTTAGCTCTGCAGCAATCACAGTTTAATATCTTTCAAAACCACGATATGCAATCTTCAGCACAGCTAAAATTATCCTCACTTCTACCAGTGGAACTTTCATTTGTTCCTGTCTGTTGCCTGTTATTAGAAATCATGTTGATTTAATAGCAGGATAAAAACAGAATTCCTTTCCTCGAAGCGAGGATACTTCAGTTGTTTGCTGCTGTGTGCCATGGGAACTGACTTATAGCTCACCCTCCGGTGGATTCTCAGGGGCTGTAAATCGCATAGGAAGAGATTGCCCATCTTTCTCCACAGTGCAGCTGGTTTAGTTGAACCACTAATCTGTTGCCAGCCCAACATTTAGCCTCTGTACCATTCAGTCATTCATTAGCTGACCCTCCCTTGGATTTCTGAGGTTGTAGATTACATGGGAGGAGATTGCCTGCTGGTGGATTCACACCACTGGCGATGTGAGGCCATTGGGTGAGCAGTGCAGCTCCCTTCAGATTATACCACCAGTTCCCTATGATGTTACTGTGGCTCCTTTAATAAGTAAGAGAGATGGTTCAGATCCATCAGATGCACCACTGGAGGAGGAGGGGCAATCTCCTTCTGTGCCAGTCAGATCCATTCGATGGTACCCAACAAGGGAACAAGAATTAAGCAATAGGGAGCTCTGGTGCCCTAGTGGCAAGAAGCTGTGCTGCAATACCAAAGGCATGTAGTTTGAATACACCAGGTGCCCCCTGGAAGAAGGATAGGCAGTCTTCTCCTGTGAGATTAACTACCTCTGAAAACTGGCCAGAGGGTCAGCTATGGATAGGTTCCGACTCTACGGTAAACAACAATAACTAATATACAATAAGCAGCACATACTGAAAGAATACAACTTGAGTACTGACGTGAACACATATATGAAGCTATCACCACATTTAAAATACGGACTGTAGCCATGAAAAGAAAGAAGTTACCAATGATTTCATTTTATTTGAATCTGCAATCAACAACCATGGAAGCAGCAATCAAGAAATCAAAGACATAACCACATGGGGGGAAATCTGCTCTCAAAGACCTCTTTAGAAAGCGAAGCCAGAAGTCTAAAGACTAAGGTGCATCTGCCCCAAACCATGGTGTTTTCAGTTCTTTCACATGCATGTGAACAAGCTGGACAGCGTAAAGGAAGATCAAAGAGGATTGGATGCCTTTAGCTTGTGGTATTGGCCAAGAATATTGACCATACCCTGGACTGCCAAACTGGAGTCACGCCACCCCTGTGTTCCTTAGAAATGAGGATGAACAGACTTCATCTCACATATTTTGGCCATGTTTTCAGGAGATGACACTCTCTAGAGAAAATAATCATACTTGGTCAAGCGGAAGGTCAAGTGAAGAAGAGGAAGACGCCCACCAAGGCAGATGGGTACAGAAGCTCCAACAGTATTGCAGTTACATATCACAGCAGTGATTGTCTTACTGATCCAGGACCTGGCAGTATTTCATTCTCTTGTGCATAGACTCACCATGAGTCAGGGCTGGCTCGACAGCACATGACATCAAGCCCTTTCCAAACTTGACACCCTCCTCACTGCTCCACCTCGGAATGGATACTGTGCTTGAGAAAGAATGCTGGGCTCTGCTAGGTAAATAGACACTGCCGGCGACCTCCCCACCTTCAAGTGGCACCCAGTGCACGTGCCATACCTTACATGTGTCTCTGCTTTAGAATGTGTTCTTAATTAAACTGCCTGCCCATGTGCTGTGTTAGGGAGTAAAAATACTGCCCTTTTACCCTCCACCTCGCCATGATCCTAATCTTTGGAAATGGTTTAAAGAGTCATTGCATTAGAACTTGTTCCGGTACTATCTGTCTGGTACTCGTTCATGCTTTCACTCAACCACAGGTCTATCCTGGCTTCTTAATAATACCTGCTAGTGCTGTGTGTAAGTCCTAGGGCAAAAGAGTGAGAAGAACACATTGTCTAAAATCATCAAACAATCACAAATAGTAAATAAAGCTAGAAGATGCAAAAGGGAGGAGATAGGGGCAGAGGCATTCCAAGTGGTGCCCTAAAATCAGTGACTGAGCGGTGTGTGTGGACAGCAGCATGTCGTCCATGCACTGGTGGTGTAGCCATGGGGAGGAGTGTTGCTCACCTAAAGGCCGCCCCTCTCTGAGGGTTCGGATCCACCAGAAGCTCTGTGCCAGAAGATGACAGTCTCCTTTTGTGCTATTTGCCATCTCATAAACCCAGTTCTGACTTGATGGCAGAGTTTCCAAGTTCATGTCTAGACTGGTCCCAGTGTAACTCTAATTCCCCGTCCTCAGAATCATTACTGACCTTCCGTTGTAGTCGTGGTATGGTAGAGCTAAGCCTGAGTTCAGCAGCTCCCTTTTCCCAGCTCCTGACAGAGACTGGCATACCGAGCAGGTGAAGAAGGGCTTGGGATAACAAGAGGGTGAAGAGCATTTAATGAAGGCGTGCTGTGTTCCTGGCATCAGGCAAGATTGCTCTCCTGTGTTGCTCATTTGATCTTTATATAGCCCTAAAGGATAGGTTTCATTCTGATTTTACAGGTGAGGAAACAGTTTGAAGGGTTCATTAATATGACCCGTGTTATAAACCGGTTAACAAGTGAAGCCAGGTTTGAACACAAGTGTATCCAGTTGCCCGTTCTTTGTGCCCTACTCAGAGACTTCAGAATTATCTCCAGACAAGCAGCTCTGGTGCTTCCTTCCCAGCTGCCTTAGCATTTCTGAGCCTGAACTTGACCGCTGTGAGGAATGAGGATGAGTGTTGGGAGAGGAATTTGGAAACCGACTCATAGCTGACCTTCCAGCAGGTGTTCAGAAACACAGTAGGAGATTGCCCATCTTTCTCCCTCAGAACAGCTGGTGGATTTGAACTATGTGCCTGTGGGTTGACAGCACCACTCTGTAACCATTAGGCCACCAGAGGAAAGAAGTGAATAGTACAAATCTGAATTATAATCTATCATGGAAAATGAGGAGCTCTCAGCTCATCTCCTTATTCCATTCTGGGGGGAAAGTCAACAGGAGAAATACTCTTTAAGTTAGATGGGAATTTTAGACTGTCCAGACCTTTTTGTAACACAAGTTGAGAGGGAGGAAGTAAAAAAAATTAGAAACTTCTGAAATAGTTCAAAAGAGGGCAAGTGATCAGTACTTCTCTCAGGAGAACTCGACACTGAAGCATTGGAATGGGCTGTTCTCTGAGGGGTTCCCAGATCAGCTGGTTATTTCTCACTTAGAGATTTGTCTTCAAGACCTGAATGGAATCATATATCCCTGAGCCTCTGTCTGTTTTGTCACAAGTACCAGCTGATGTGCGGTGTTAGCACTCCTCAGAATGTTCTTTTGCTTTGTGAATTCTCATAGATAGGTGTTTGTTTCATGTACCGTAGCACAGTTTCTTTTACGACATTTGGGAAATATGTCAGAAGAGATCCAGAAACATAACCTTCACATTTGGGAAATATGTCAGAAGAGATCCAGAAACATAACCTTCATTAAATCCAGCTTTTCACCCAACTCACTCAAACAAACTGAAGCCTAGGGAGTCTTAAATTTCTCCCCATGATTCTGAAGCCATACTGGGACCAAGACACAGCTTATAGTCAGGATATCCTCCTTGATACCCCAGTAAGAGTGAGCCTTCCGTCACTGAGCTCCCTTCTGCCTCGTGTGTCTGACTTGTTTTTTACCCACAGATTCTTCAGAAGCCAACCCCAGAACTCAAGCATCAGTTGGCGGCTTTCTCCAAGCGCGTCGCAGGAGCGGTCACCGAGCTCATCCAGGCAGCAGAAGCTATGAAAGGTAGACTGGGTTCTGGTTTTTTCTAGTCCTGGGTCAACTGCACTGGCACCTTGCCAAGGCAGTGCCAGTATAGGAGACAGAGGAACCAGATCAGGCCCTTTCTGGGCAAGCACAGGAGAAAGAGTAATAATGAGGTACTTTTTTAAAAAAGCAAAGGGGTTTAGATTTTATTTAAAAATTAGCATCCTCTCAAGTCTTTCCATTACTCTCACTTCAGTGGCATAATCAGTTGAGAACTGTTCACATCTGTTTTTAAGTCTTACTGCTTATGTTTATGTGCCTTTTCAGTCATCAGAGGACTTCTCACATAAATAATGCCCTTTGTTTAGGAAATTATGCTGAGTACCTTGTTTGCACCCCCCTTTGTGATAAAAACAATCAACTCATTGGGAAAAGTATGATCCCTCTTTGGTTTGGGTTGAGTGCCTGACTCTTCCTTGTATGTTCTCGGGAAGAGAGATGGGCCGTTTCTAGCTTACTCTAGAGGCTCCTGTGGATGCTTCCTTGCATTCAATGATATTTTTACATTGGAAGTCGGAATAAGACTTGAACTAGCTTAGGTCTATAAGATCCAGACTATAGAAACGGTGATTTCTGGTTGTTCGTATGGTGGCTTAGTGGTAAGGAATTGTGCTGCCAGCACAAAGGCACGCAGTTCAAATCCACCACTTGCTCTGCAGAAGAAGGATGGCCAGTCTCCTCCCATGCAATTTACTGCCTCTGAAAGCTCGCTGGAGGGTCAACTATGTGTTGGCTCTGACTCAACAGTACACAACACCATCACCAAACATGGTAGAGATATACAGACAGCTGGTGTAGAAACCCAGGATCAGGTGAGTCCCCTGCATCCAGATGACGTCTGTGAGAACTAGAGAGATCTCTTAGGCCAATGTCAGCTGGCAGTAGGTTCATGGAGTGACCCTCTATGCAAATATAGACATTGTTCTTAATTAAGCCAGCTCCTCGCAGTTTGCAGCTACCAAGAGTGATACTCTTTCGGGACTGATTCTAGGGACAGAATGGGTGGATCCTGAAGACCCAACCGTCATTGCAGAAACGGAATTACTGGGGGCTGCAGCATCCATTGAGGCTGCTGCGAAGAAGTTAGAACAACTGAAGCCAAGAGCAAAGCCCAAAGTGAGTGACCTTTTTCTGATTACTCATGTGATGTGCATTGATCTCAGTGGATGGCTGTGAAGTGGGGTTAGATGTGCCGGGTAGAGTGACCTTGTCTCCTTCCAGCCTTGGGGCGTAAATTTCAGCAAGTGGAAAGCTGCTGTCCCCACCACCACTTTTTTTCCAGGGCATGGAAAAAAACCAATGTATGATTCTATCAAACTAACCACCCAGGAAAAAATACCTGTGTGTGTCCAGGGGAGGAGAAAGGGCATTTACAAGTCATTATGTCGGTCATTCTATATCAAATAGGTGCTGGTTACTTCTCTTGGAAATACCCTCTTGCTGAATATGAATTTTCATTCTTAATTTTTCTAATTCCCATTATGCTTTTTACAGAGAAATATAGTGCTAGAACTTTCCCCCTTAATATTCAATAGAGGGCAGTGTGAATCATAAAAACATTACCATTAACAGACTTTTCCAGCCTATCCTGGAGTTTGTGGTTTGCTGGTGGGTTTTTTCCATAGATGTTTGTCATCTAGATAAATGTTTAGACCTTGAGATCATGAGTATATGTTAAGAGACACAGCCATTTAAAGGAAAGAGATATTTTTAGATTCGACAGTAGGGAGGGCAGTGATTAAGTAAAAGAATCATGTGCTAGAGCTCTCCGGGGGTGAAGACCCACACACATTTATCCCACCCCCAGTGGCCGTCTTCAGCATGAAATACGTAACTAGGAGCTTCTTAATCTTTCTGTTAAAACACTGGTACATATAAACTTCATCTAGATAGATAGATGATAGATAGATGATAGATAGATAGATAGATAGATAGATAGATAAAATCTGGCTCTTCCTGACAAAGAATGTTAACTCCCTAACTTATGTGTTCTTAAAATTCCACATTTTTTATAAGACCTGTGGATGGCTACTACGCATTGAAAAATAACAAACCATATAAAGGCCTTTCCTGGGCTAATGCTGTGTATAAAATATACAAGCATACTATGAACCTAATAAGCTTGAGAACATTCTTAACAGCCTGGAATTCTTAGGCCCAATCTTTTCATAGTTGTGTTAACTTTGATAAAGGCATTTAAAAAGGGATTTCTCAAGGGAGCTCTGGTGGCCCAGTGGTAAGAAGCTGTGCTGCAAACACAAAAGCACGCGATTTGAATCCACCAGATGTGATACTGGAGGAGGGATAATCTCTCTTGTGCCAGTTTGACTTGACTCGATAGTAATCAACAAGGGGGGAGGAAAAAAGAAGAAAGAAATTTCTCATTAAAATGATAGCTCACACATTTTGGCTTCTGATTTTGGGGTTCTCCGGGATCTTCTTCCCGGACTTTTAACCTGAACGTTGTCTGAGGTGGTCACAGTTTTCCTTATAAGCTGGAGCGCAAAGTGTGGTAGGAGGGGAAATTCCTGATCATGCTTTTATTTCCACTTTGTAAATCAAGTTCATCCCGAATGAAAATGTACTTTGAACTTCAGAAGCAAGCACTGACTAGGATTTAGAGTTTGGTGCTTAATTTGTTTTCCTTTTTCTTTATGTGCCTTACCGGAAGTGGCCTCTCGGCAAAGATTGTGTCTATTAACAGTGATGGTGGGTCACTGGCATCTTCTTTCTCACAGGAGTCAAGCATGATGCTAACCTCACACTGATGCTTCACTGAGTTCTAAGAATTCCTGCTCTTTCCTTCTGTCCTTTTGCAGGGTCCTTCTGATTTCTGTGTGTCACTGAATCCTGGTGCCCTCTGTCCTCGTGATTTTTGAACTGACAAAGTTATTAGAGTTCTTACATCATAGAATTGTTGTAGCAATCAAATGATATAATATAAAAATATGTAACAACAACTAAATGACAGAGAAAGACTCAGTAAATGCTAACTTTACCACTACTGTCAACATCCTCATCACAGATGCTGAAGAATTGAACTTCCTCTAGAAAAATGCTTGAAATAATGTTACTCTATAGGACCATGAGCTGATGACCTTAGTTACAATTTAAAAAATGAAAAACCATAGCTCATGTTGAACAAGCACCAGATGAGCACCTGCCAGGCAGTGTTCTGGCTGCTTTCCCTGGAAAAAAATAATACATTTGGTTTGTGCATCAAGTCCATGAAGCAGACGCCACTGTCATCTGATGAGTCAGCCGCTCTGAAGGGTAAATGACCTCACCAGGCTGCCCCCACCAAGACTGAGCTAAGAGGAGTAGATGAGATTGCTGCATAGCAGTTTAGTCCAGTATCAATCCCCTTATGTCCACCCAGGGTCAGAGGGCACTTTATGGATGAAGCGTGCCCTTTGAGACATTAATCCTGCTTCTGGTAATCTGTTTTAAGGAATAAACCCAAGAGATGAATAAAACTCTGTGTCTGTGAGAGGGTTGACCCATTCAGCCTTGCGTGAAGACCTGAGACTTTAGATGCAGTCTGGCTGTCTCCTTGAAGGAATGCCATGCAGGTATCTAAAACAGTGGTCGGATGGACTATGTAGGATGAAGCAGAGGCTCGTGCGAGGACAGAAAGCCCAGGATGCAGAACTAGGTACTGGTTCTGAGTACAGCTCCATCAGAAAACGCCTGTGCGTGAAGGAAGAGCTAGATGAGGCATGCACAAGAGCTGTGGTAGGCTGGGGAGGATGAGGGCACCCTATGCTATGTACTGTTATAAAACTAACGGCTTCAAAATGAAAGCGCCCAGGATGTGACAAAAGTGACACCACTTAACATTAAAGTGTTATTTAATCCAGTAGTGAATTGGTGCTGGCTGCTGACAAAGGCTGGTCTGCACTTCCTTTGATAACTTAGGATCACCTGGCCTTTGCCCTTAACGTTAAATTTTTTTGTGGAAATGCTGAGGGATCCTTCACTTAAGGTCAGTGTTAGTATCAGCTGTTGGTTTGAGTCCTTTGACCTGGGGGCAGATTGCTTGGCACTTCGAGAGTGTTTTGAGATGGTCAGAATTCCTTCTCTGCCCAGCAGCCTGAGGCTCCTGCCACATGGGTTATATGATCTGTGCAACTGTTTCTTGAAGAAACCAGCAACCTAAGCTGTGAGGTGTGTGCCTGTCTGGGAGTACCATCCACAGTGCAGTAATAGCTGTGTGAAATAAAAGCCCTCCGCCTTTGTAAAGGAGTTCATTTCCTCAGTTTTAAAACAGCAAACTCACAGTCAGTCTTTTAAGATTGTTTCTCCCATACTCTGTCCTTTCACTCTAAAAATAATAAAATGCTATAAATAAAAGATTGCTCTCACAACCCTAGCCCTACAGTGAATATTCCTTCTTTCCATAACTGGGGGCATTTGCACTGTTCTGGGGACTAGAGAAGCAGTGGTTTTTATTTCCATTATTCCTGCTCATTGTTTTCTCAGGCTGCCTGTTTTAAAAGTGCTTTTTCTATGTGGGCAGCACATCTAAATGTAATAGTCCAATTATTAGGAAGATTGCTAGTGTAGTTCCATATGTGGCCCTGACAACTGAAGCTTCTCTCTTTGCCTGGAATCTCCTAGAGATGAATTCATGAAACAGAGTTACGCTGTTGAATTCAACCTTGAGCTTGGGACGATGGTGTGATGGCAAAATGAGGCTATCAGTGAGCCCTTGTGCATGTACCTGCAATGTTGCTAATGGCGCCGTTTCCACACTTGCAGACAGACCTGTGCCTCCAAAGACAGATAAAGGAGTTGCTGCAGGGGGTGACCACCTTCCCACAGTGGTCACCTTCAGTACTGTGGCTACTCTCGAGCTCAATCAAACCTGGATGCCTTTTCTGCAGGCCTCTGTGTGATATGTTTGATATATTAGGTTGTTATTTAATCCAACTATATATCAAACATATTCCTACAGTGTCTTGCCCTGTCTCCGGGGGTGCCTAATATAGCTTGTAAGGCAACAGGGAAGAATCTGATCAAATCACAAGTAGATTTAGAAGATGGTATGTTCACTGCTTTTTGTCATGTTATATATACCATTTGTTCTCATAGCATCTGAGACCTGGATCAGTCATTCCTAGACTACTTGTTTATTGCAGAAACAAATCATGGTTATTGATGTTTCTACAAGGACTCAAGATAGAATGTACAACTGAATTTTGTGCCATAATGAATCCTTAAGAAATATGCCTTGGGGGAGAGGGAATGGAAGGTTTCAACCCATGTTTGTAGAATGAGATAAAAGTCAGGATTCCAATATTCAGATACATTGAAATTTATATTTCATTTTCCTCGTACTCCTCATTTTAGTAGTGATTTTGTTAATGACGATCTCTATTAAAATTTAGGAAGCAACTCTCAGCAGTGTCCTCTGTACTCCTAATAACATTTCTTTTTTTTTTTTTATTAGTTTTAATGAACATTTACAGGGATTTGGGGTTTTCATTCCTTCATTGCTGCACCATTCTCTCTAC